AACTGTCACATGCTCCAAAGAACGTCGGATATCCTCCGTCGCCAAATACGCCAAATACGTGGACGCGCGCCTCATCCACAATTTGATACGTAGAAGCGGCGACGTGATACGACAAAATTTGTGTATAGTCTGAAACCCGTAAACCGTCAGATGTCTCCCATGCCCGCGTTGTTCAATGAATCCTATGACGCATGCCATACACCGTTCACCCATGACTGAAAGGGGCAATTGCAGAACAAACAGGAGCAGGAGTGTTTTAGCCCCTCGAAGTCGCTGAACGTATCACCGGGGCGCCAACAGCCCGCGTGAAGTACAGGAAGCGATGCGGCAACAAATCCGCCGCCGTGCCTCTGCGACAACTGCGTGTTAGAATGCCTGGAAGCTGTCTGATAGGTTGACCCGTTGTGTAGAGCGAGGCATTGATGCTCAAACTCGTCACGACGCATTGGATCGAGAAGGAGGTTTCGCGATTGCAAACAAGCAAGTGAGACCCTCCTAATCCTCACGCCAGGACCTCAGGCACTGGAAGCGGCTGGCAAACTTCACCTGATCAACTCCCGACCCCACGCGACCCCCGACACAACTCACCCAAAGCCCTCTGTGACGTCGGCGGCAGAGCCGGCAGCCTCTGAAGAAGAGAGATCGGAATAGGGACGAGGATACGGGTAGAAAGATAGGGATGAAGGGATAGATAAGAGAGAACGCGTTTCGCGGACGCTTGCTTGGGAAAACCCCTGGGCACGTCGGGACCGCCCCCCTTAACATCTTAAACGCCTGGAGAATTGGGAGCCCCCCCCCCCTCCAGACACCGGCCTCTCTCACCAGCCCCCCCCCCCCTCCAAATGGGTGGGGTGTGGTCGAGCTGGGCCTTGTCCCCCCCGCATACAAGTACTGTGTTAGTGCCCGATCAAGCTCTTATGGAATCCTATTATACCTGGACCCAACTAGAAAAATATCCCAGTCGGATCCGACCCAAATTTAATCGGATCCCACTATGCCACTGGGAAAGGAAGGGGGGAGGGCCACGCCCGGTTCGAAGCCCCCCCCCCTGCAATTCAGGGGGGGACAGTGCGAACCTCACCCCCTCCTTGAGGAGGGGAGGGAAGGGCTGGTCCGAACCCGCCCCCCTTTGCAATGTAGAAGGAAAGGCTTGAGCCACCCCCCTTCCAAGCGTACACACAGCGCGCTCTTTCAGAGATAGGGACAGTAATAGGGATGGGAATAGGGATAGGGACTGCAATGGATAAGGATGAGAACAAGGGTATATAGAGGCATCCTAGATGGGGTCCGAGTGGATGGGGTCGGAGGATCGCGCCGCATCGCCGACGTCGGCGACGAATCGGCGACGTCGGCGTGAAGAACATCGGGCTCCGTATCGAGCCGCATCGGCAATGCATCAGCGATGCGGCGCGATCCTGCGGCCCAATCTACTCGGACCCCATCTAGGAGGCCTAGAATGAAGGAATAGAGGTTAAGATGGGGAAATGGATAGAGGGATAGAGATAAGGATGGGGACGCCAACATGGGAGGCCACGGGAGGCAACGGGAGGCCACAGGAGGCAACGAGAGACCACGGGAGGCCACAGTAGGCAACGAGAGGCAACGGGAGGCCACGAGAGGCAACGTCGCGCCCCCGATTCCAGATCTGGCAGTCCACTCGCTGGGCATTGAAAAGAAAGAGAGAGAGAGAGACAAAAAGAGAGAGAGAGAGAGAACAAAAAAAACGTTCATATATTTTAATGACCCAAGACCCCCCCCCTCCCCGAAATCGGACCCCCCGAATCCTCGGCCCCCCAGGACCCTCTGGACCCCCCAGATCCGTGGCCCTGGGGACCCCCTTGACGCCCCTGCAAGAGGCCCCCAGGCGCTTCAGACCTCCTGGAAGCCATTGCTGGGCCCAGGCAATGGAGAGAAACATTGATGTCCCAAGGTTTTGCCTGATTTCGGGAATGTCCTGCTCTTCGGTCTTCTGGGCGTCCGAGACTGCCTGGGAGGCTCGAAAATCGCCCCATAACCATCCGAAAGGGCTTCCAGTCAGTCCAAGAGAGCCCTAAGAAGGCACAACAGGGTTCGAAGATGGCCTGAGAGAGCCCCATGACGGCCCAAAATGGCCCCAAGACACCCTCCGAAGCACTCCAGATCGTGACCTGGCCGTTCGGGAAGACCGCGGTTGCCAAAAGGCCTGCAGAAAGCCTGAACTTCCGTGAGGCCCCCAGAGGATCTCCAAGGAGGAGCCTCCGAAAGAAGAGCTGAGGAGGATGGGGAAGGATTCGCAGGATAGGCGAGAATGAGTCAAAAGAAATATGGAGGCAGGATAACGGATAGCCTTGCTGTAACGGCGATGCCAGAAAAGACAACAAGGAGTTATCGCTAATTTGTCTGCTAGACCTTCCTGCAGTTCCCCCTGCATGCCAAACTTCAAAGACCAAGGTACATGGCGCGAAGCGCCGATGCAGTCTCATAGATGTGTATGTGTATGTATATATGTGTATATATATATATAGATACAGAACTGGAAAAATGATAGCCGGCGCGGGCCCGAAACACTGGTTTGAACTATACGCGGTGCCATGTAGGTGGTGCAATCTAGGTGGTGCAACCCGTGTGGTGCACTCTACATGGTGCTAAGCGATGAAAAGCCACGGAAAGCAATGCAAACGATGGAACCCGATGCAAAGAAATGCAATGCAAAGCAATGCAAAGCAATGCACAGCGATGCAAAGCGGTGGAAAGCAATGCGCAACAATGGGAAGCAATGCAAAGCTACGTGAGGCAATGCAAAGCAACGCAAAGCAACGCAAAGCAACGCAAAGCAAGGCAAAGCAATGCAAAGCAATGCAGAGCAATACAATGCAATTCATAGCAATGATAAGCAATGCTAAGCAATGCACAGCATTGGAAACAAAAACGATACGAAGAGATGCAACGCTATGCGAAACGAAGCAATGCATAGCAATGCGGAGCAATTCAGAGCAGTGCGTGCAGAGCAATGCAAATCAAGGCAAAGCCAGACAAAGCAAGTCAAAGCAGCGCATAGCAGTGCAAAACAATGCAAATCAGTGCAAAGCAACGCAAAGCAATGCAAAGCAACGCAACGCAATGCTAAGCAATGCAAGGCAGCGCAAAACAATGCAATGCAAAGCAATGCGGCGACGGCGTCGACTGGCGGCGACGAGCCTGCCGGGCGACACTCAGGCTCACGTACTTTAGAAAGGAAGCAAGAACCCCTCAGTGAAAGCACTGCTTGGGGAATCGAGAACCCGTACAGATAGGCTGTTTCAGGAGCGATGCAAAACGCACTTCGCAGCACAATCTGGATCATGTTCGGGCGTCCCGCGATCACGTTGTATTGTTTTTGACCAGGAAGTCAAGGAGGCCCTCATATTGCCTCGCGTGCGCAGGCCCACCATCCCTGCCAAAACCTAATGCAGAGCACGCGTTGCGGCAAAATCTGGACCCTGCGCGGGCGCCCCGCGATAACTTCGCATTTCTGTTCGACACGGATGATGGGGGGGGGCCCTGACAGGCGCGGCGCCGCACCTCGCTGGCGTCGCACACCTGGCCGGCGTCTGCTGTGGCTCCTGATCGTTGTCGATGGCGACCCCCGCCTATGCTAGGAGGAGGAGGAGGAGGAGGAGGAGGAGGAGGAGGAGGAGGAGGAGGAGGAGGAGGGCGGGCGCGAGCGAGCGAGACGGCCACCCTTCGGGGGGGGGGAGGGCCTCGACGCCTCCCCCTGCCCCCGCACGCTTGGTCTGGACGGGCCGCCCCGCGAGGCGCCCGGGGGGGCCCTCGCTGGCCCCAGAGGGCCCGAGGGGGCCCAAAAGGTGGCCGCCAAGACGGCGAAGGACAGCGCAAGACTTCGGGCGACACCATGCTTAGCTAGGGCTCCCAACTTCGCGCTCTCGCGCTCCGCGAAGCGCGAAGCGCGAATAACTTCGCGCCCTCGCGCCGCCCCCCCCAAAGGGAGAAGAGGAGGACGAGGAGGAGGGGGAGAAGGAACGAGGACCGCGAAGCGCGAAGCGCGAATAACTTCGCGCCCTCGTGGGAGCCCTTGCTTAGGGGGTCAAGCTGCAAGGGGGTGGTGCAGTAGAGTTGGGGCACTTGTATTGCAAGTGTCTGGCGCCGGAGACTTGTGTGGCACTGTATTGCAAGTAGTGCATTGCACGCGAATGGGCAGCAACACGTCTGCGCCACGGAATGTATGGCACGCCCCAAGTGTATTGCAACCCCAAAGATCGACTGCACCAAATCTATTGCACCACCCCCTTGTCGCTGGACCCCCTTTGGGGTCAACCCGAAAGCTGGCTCAAGATGGCCTGGAAGATGCATCGACAAGGCCCCAAGATCGCCCCAAGACGGCCACAGGTGGACACGGAGCCTCCACAGGACGCCTCCGACAGGCCAAAATCCGCCGACCCTGCCGGCGCATGTGAGGAGGAGTTCTAGGTCCGTCGTCCCCGGGCAGTCCTCAGAGACGATCTTTCGCTCGACTTCCTCTCAAATTCCTGGAGCCTCTCCCGAGATCCTCTGTGGTGCGCCAAGCTTGTCAACCCGAAGTGAACTTAGATCGAAAGGGAGCCCCTTCCCTTTGATGATCCTTCCCTTTGATCCCTTCCTCGCCCCGGGGGAGATCCCAGTGGGGTCACGGGTCAGAGCACACTCACCCGAACGAAGGATTGCAAAAAAACCCAGGTTTTTTTTGAAATCCTTCGTTCAAACGAGGGTTTGTTTGCAATCCAGGGTTTTTTTGCAATCCTTCGTCCAGGGTTTTTTTGCAATCCTGGGTTTTTTTGCAATCCTTCGTCCAGGGTTTTTTTTGCAATCCTGGGTTTTTTTGCAATCCTGGGTTTTTTTGCAACCCTTTTGGGAGGCGTATTCGGCAAGTCAAATCCAAGATAATCCACGAGGGGCCCAAGAGAGCCCAGAGTCGCCCAGAGATCGCTTCGGGCCGCTCAAAATGGCCTCCAGATGGCCCAAGACGCCTCCAATACGTCCCAAGAGGCCCTTAAAAGCACTACCACGAGGGCCCCAAGAGGCAACAAAACTTGTTGAATCCCCGACGGTTCGGGAAATTGTCGCATTTCTCTCTTTTCGGCTTCCCGACGTTCCACTACGGCCCACGAGGAGATTGACCCAAAACTGCCTACGAGGCCCTCCAAAGAGGTGCTGCGGCTGCCGAAAGAAAACCCAGCATGACCCGAGCGGCCTCCAAGACGGCCCGAGAGGGCCCCAAGAACACCCTCAGAGAGG